AAATATCTTTGTAGAAATAATTACTATATTAAACGGTTCAAATTAACCCCATTACGAGATGTATAACGTTCGAAGTAATTATAAATAATGGTGGTTTGAGAAAAGGGAGCAATCTCCCAGAAAAAACCCCGACGCGCGTTTCGCCGGTAAGGCGGCTTTTCCCCTTGAAAAGCCGCCTTACCGGCGAAACGCGCGTCAGGGTTTTTTCTGGGAGATTGCTCCCTTTTCTCAAACCACCATTATTTATAATTACTTCGAACGTTATACATCTCGTAATGGGGTTAATTTGAACCGTTTAATATAGTAATTATTTCTACAAAGATATTTTATTGGTGTTTGGGGTATGCTTATTAGGGCTTCTTTCTTTTTTTCTTCCGACTAATAGCTAACTTAGGATTGCAGCAGCGGCAGTTGCCTTTGAAAGCATAGTGAGACGGTTTCTATATTTATATAGACAGCAATCACGAGTATTCAGATATTAGCAACCGCAGATTTAGCTTCTAGCAACAAGAAGTGATTCTCTTATTTAGAATACGTAGGAATAATGCACAGTATCCATTGGGGCGTCCTGCAGATTCACTTCTTATTTATTTCTTCGGCTAGTTAGCTCATTTAGTGGGGTCTTGCAGAGGTAGGTGCCCATGAAGGCACAGTTAGTTTTTTGCAAAATCTTTTTATAAACTTATACTGGGAATTCCACCAATTGTTGTGTTTTTTTCTACCTCTTATAAACAAGTATTTACATATTGGTTTGCAGTACAAATCAATAGTAAGCAGTAATTTGCAACAATTTAGCTAATTGAAAGTACCAATTCAGAACATTTTTATACACTATCCAAATGTTGATTATATGTCAAATGACCAATTTGCAACAATCTGGACATTATAATCATTTAATCATTTAATTGATTGTATGTCAAATGATCAATTTGCAATAATCTGGACATTATAATTATTTAATCATTTAAATGATTTGTATTGTTTACCTCTCTATACTCCCCTTCGGTGTATTGAGAGTTCTCATATTTATTCCTTATTTTAATTAGACTATTAAAAGTTAACTTTTAAACTTACTTATTCCATGGCAGTAGTTCTCTCTTGTTTCTTTTGAATTATTTCAGTTAGGGTTAACCCCTTCACTGCCTAGGTTCCAATACCATTAAGCTTCCATTCTCCCCGTTTTTTCTCTTAATAGTTTCAGAGAAACTGCTATGTTTACATTGCAGGGTTAATCTAGTGTCTAGTGGCTGTCTACCTGACAGTGACTAGAGGTCACTTCTGCGATTCTCAGTGAGTAAATTGCACTAAAATGAAGCTGGACGTCCTCACGGAGTCCAGCGTCAAATAAGATCCCCATAGGAAAGCATTGAGTAATGCTTTCCTAGGGGCGGGTTTGAATTTGCATACGCCTCTGGCCCCGCATGCGCATTCGACTCCACTCGGGAGCTGACGTCGGCAGGGGTAGGAGAGGTCACCAACGCCGAGGGAGCCCGGTGCTGGATTAAGGTAAGTGGCTGAAGTGGTTTTAACACCTTCAGCCCAGCGGAAGGGGGGCCCCGAGGGACAGGGGACCTATTAAACCTATAGTGCAAGAAAAAAAAAGAACAAAAATCAACATTTAGTAGATATAACCAAATAAAAAACAAGCATGCCTTTTAATTCTGCATTTTTAATTGCAGGCATATCTAACAGCAGCTTGCAAAACCTGCATATTTGTTGTCTACAGCCTTTGCAAGCACTCCCCTTCTTCCCCAGTCCTGACTTCCTGTGACTCTGCAATCACAATGAGAGGTCTCTGCAAGGCAGAAGCTCTGAGCAATTGCCTGCCTCTTAAGTTTAGCTCAACTCAGCTAAACTGCCAGGAAGTAACGGGACCAGTTATCTGTTTGACAGCCAGGGGGTGTAACATGGCTAATTTAGAAAAGAGCCAATTTCTATTGAAAAACATCACACACAAAAAAGAATTTCAACAGGCTAACTGTTTTAGGTGTGTGGAGTGTTCCTTTAAGTGTAACAAAAGAAGAATAACTCAAAACAGATTTACTAATGAGTCCAGATTGTGAAGTGCCTCATATTAATTATTGGTAATTGTTCTTTTTATAATTAATACTGGTAAGAGTAAATTATGGTTTTAAGTCTAATCCTTTTCTAGCATGTGTTACTCTAACCAAAAACAGTGTTTTCTTATAACAGTGCTTTGTTTGGTTGGAGTTACCATCTTAAAGTATATGTCACTGTATAATATTTTGCATAAGGAGATGTAGGGACTATGTTACCTTATGTATAACGTGCAAGTTGACAAAAGTTGACAAAGGGTGGAGCTTTAGTCTAACTATGAACTGATTATGACGATAGGCGCACCTTAGCCCAGCTCCCATTTAGCAATGATTTGCCCTCTTACCTGGGGTCCTACTGGGCTCATGGGCTCCTTCATCTGTGGTGATGCTAATCCAGTCACCAATCATTGGCTGAGAGTGTCAGCTGACAAAAACTTACCTGTGACAATTTTACACAGAACTGCCTTTAGCCAGATTTGCAACAAGTTAAAGAGTGTAATTCAGTTGATATTTGTTTTAAAAAAATTACTTGTTTGAAATTTTGGGCATAATACAACTAATAAACCTATAACACTTAGCCAATGTTTTAAAATCTGAAACATTTAGCTTTGAAACAGGAATGGACTCTCTTTGGCATATGACATTTTCATTTTTTTATTTTTTTTTACCTAATGCATGTTTGACACCTGTAACCCCTTAATGCCTTATGATGTAATGTCATATCTTGTCATATCTGCTTTTGTGCCAGCAGGGGCTAGATCCCTGCTGGCTCTGGGGATATCAAGGCATCATTTGATACCTGGGGTTTCTCTCTGTCAGCTGGAGCTATATTTAGTGTCCCCAATGCAGACCAATTAGCTGTGTGCAACACATTCTTTATGTTACCACAGACTCCTGTGTGGTCTCAAAGGAACCGAGGGAGACATCTTAAAAGACCACAGTTAGGTGACTTTGCCCCTGCTGAATATGATAATTGTGTGAGCCAGCGAGGATCCCACTCATGCTGCAATCACACAGTGAATTTAGCTCACAGAGAACTCTGCACTATGTAATCAGATAAAATTATTCAGCAGATGTCAGCAGTGAGATTAGCAGAGGGCATTCTTCTTGTGCTAGAGTTAGGATTGGTGTGTGGTTAGTTTTAGGTTTGGTATAAAGTTAAGGTTAGTGCTGGTGTAGAATTAAGGTTGGGGGACTGAGACATTGGTTAGGATTAGGGGGGGTTTAGGTTTGGAAAACTTTAGAGTTAAGGCACATTTTCTTTCATAGCACCATGGACGGAATTTACAGTGGGCAAATAAAAAAAATATTTCTCAACTACTTTTAGTTTTCAAATTCAATGTTATTTGAATTACATGCACAATAAATGGATACAAATCACCGAAACCGATATTTTCAATGTAGAATTTAGATATTAGTTTCAGAATTTAAACCAATAATTATTGGATCCCAATAAACCTTTAACAGCAGTAATTTAATTAACAAAAACTGATAAATAGCTTAGTCAGTAAGTCTCTATTTTAAGCAATGCCTAATTAAGAATATATATATTTTTATATTACCTAGCTGCTTGTTTTACTCAGTGGGCTTGTGTCAACTTAAATTTTCAGTATCATGATAATCCTGGCTCAAAAAAGACCCAGGTCCTTCGAATCTAGTTTTTTACATATTTGCTGTTAACACAAGGAGAATCTTGAGGTTACAGTATTTGGATCAAGCAATGCTTACTTTGGCTTTTTATTTGAACATCTAGGCTGCAATCCATTATGCTTAATACATATTTTTTGTCAGCCCACTGGGTGCCTAAACTATCTGCCCTGGAAGTTATAGGTAGAATCTGGATTTTTGCATTTTGGAAGCCCTTTCAGTAGGGATCATGGGAAGCATACATACTTTTAAATCTAACATCTTCAGATCCGCAGTAATAGAGAGCTACTATGGCACATTTTGTTGTTGATGTCTCCAATGTGTTTCAGGCAAATTAAGTAATGTATGTGAAACAGTTAATAACGAATAAATCACACTGTTAAAAATAAACATGAGCTGCTGGTTTAGGCCAACTACAGAGCACTTAGTGACAGAGCTTTATAGCCAGAACAGTGAGGAAATCTGAAGACCTTTCTCTCTCCAGTGGCACATTCCACAGGGAACTATTGTTATTTATTTCTGATTTTTAAACACGAGGATCCAGTGCCTATCAGAAGAGAAAAAATGAATGCTCGATCTGAGAGCTACACTGGACAGGGCTATAGTAACAATATAAAATGCAACAACTACCCTTTGCCGTCAATGTGATATAACACATTGGCTTCGGAACTGCAAATCTACAATTAGAATGAAAATCATCGATCTCCAGATAACACTTCGGCACAGAGGGGAAAATTCACCATGAAAAAACACCATGAAAAATAATAAATATTTTTTATTAGTCTCTTTTTATCACTCTATCTCTACCCCAACTGAATGGTAGTTTCATTTATGTATATTGTGTTAACTACAGATGTCGGACCAACTGAAGAAGCAATTCTATGGCACAACGTGTTGCCGTATCTATTTTTTTAGATGTTATTTGTATAATAAATACAGGAATACCTCGCTTAACGCTGTAGATAGGTTCCAACTGCTATGAGTGCTAAGCAAAACAGCTCTAAACTGGGAAGTTTAACATGGGGAAGATAGGCATAGGGAATCAACTTTGAAAAAAAATACACAACACCAATAGAATTTTAAAACTTTTAAAACTATTTTTTACTTGCTGTGAACTGCACACAGCAGCATCAATAAAAAGCTAAATAAACTAAGGGTTTTGCAACCAATAAATTAAAGAAACAGTACCAAATTAAAGTAACAGTCAAAAAAAAAAAGGTTTAAATGGTGGATGTGGAGGCTCCAGGGTCCTCCTCCTGCCTCGTTTTTTTTTGCCACAAATTGGTCGAGGGTCATTTATCTATGCTTCTTGCGGCTATCCAGCACATGGCGGTAGCAAGACACCCTTCCCAGCACAATGCGCCTTGCATTCCTAGTTGCATCAGGATCATTGGCCACCAGCTCATCCATTATGTAATTGACCTGATGCAATGTCCTGTTTAGGAGCTCAGAAGGAAGCTCTTTTGGAGGCTCAGTGTCTGAGTCGTTGGTGTCCTGAGGTTTCTGTGTGCCCTGTTCAGCCAGTTCTTCAAGGTCCTCATTGTTGAGGCTCTCACCTGAAGCCTGGATTAACTGCTCAATGTCCTGAGCATCTGTGTCTCCTAGTCCAGCAGTGGTCACAAGGTCAACTATCTCCGCTATGATGGGCTCTGGTAGTTGCACATCCTCACACAGCTCTGGACAGATCTTTTTCCACACAGCCTTGAGGCACTGCTGTGTCACCTCCTTCCAAGAAAGATCAATGTTGGAGACAGCCTTCATGATGTGGTACTGCTTCCAGAAGTCCAACATTGACTGCTTGTCCTCGCTGTCTGTGTGTTCAATCAGCTGATGGAATGTGCGGCGGAGATAGAAGGCCTTGAAGGTGGCAATCACCCCCTGGTCCATAGGCTGGATAAGCGACGTTGTGTTGGGCGGTAGGAACAGGACCTCCACAGGAATGCAGGTGGGCAGCTCAGCCAAGTTAGTCGGGTGGCTCGGCGCATTGTCCATGATGAGCAGCGCTTTCTCCTCGAGTCCCTTGTGCCGACAATAACACTGCACGGAAGGGCAGAAATGGTCAGTGAACCACTCTGTAAAAATATCCCTGATGATCCATGCCTTCCTGTTTGCCTTTTAAATGACTGGCAAGCTGGACTTGCTAATGCCCCTCATTGCCCTCGGTGTCTGGGAGTGGTACACCAGCAATGGCTTTATATGGAAGTCACCGCTGGCATTCCTACCCAAAAGAAGGGTCAGCCTGTCTTTCGCCGCTTTAAAGTCCAGTGCTCTCTTCTGCTCCCTGGAGATGAACGTGCGGCTTGGCATCCACTTCCAGAAGAGCCCGGTCTCATCCACATTGAAGACAACCTTCGGTGGATAGCTCCCTCTATCCACCACGTCCTTTAGAGGCTGGAAAAGCTGCAGCAGCTCCAGTGTCTGCACTTGCCGCTTCACCGGTGATCTTAAGGTTGTAGAGGTTGTACCTTTTCTTAAAGCGGTCAAACCAACCTCTACGTGCTGCAAAACTCTCCCTCACATCTGGATCTTGACTCTGTATGTGAGCGTAAATGCTCTTTGCCTTCTCCATCAAGATGGCCTGGCTGAGAGGCATGTTACGCTACAGCTCATCATCTATCCATATGGAAAGCCTCTTCTCCATCTCCTCAAGAGCATAGGACCTGGAGCGGGTGATCTTCTTGGCTGAAGAAGCAGTTCTGGTCGTCGCTGAAGTGCGGATCTTATCCTTGTTTTTGAGGATAGTGGAGGTAGGCAAATGGAGATCTGCCCCGATATTTACCTGGTGCTCTCCTTTATCCAGGTGGTCCAGTACTTGGATCTTGACATCCAGAGGAATACTCTGACGCTTGCCCTTAGCCTGCGCTCAGACATCTGTAAAACAGTATAAAAATACAGTACAATGAATGTAGATTTTCATTATGCAACACAATGGAACAATGACAATACAGTATTCTGTACTGTACATTGCAAGCGGATGTTCTCTGCAGGATTTGGGGGTCCCTGATAACAATCACTAGATGTGACTCTATCTGCATAACACCCCCAACCACCCCCCAAAAAAGAATTGTATAATTAATAGTCACTTTATTAAACACAAGGGAACAAAGAAAGTTACAGGAAACAAAGGGAACAAAGAAACAAGGGGGAAAAATTGTATTAGACAGCTAATAATAATCACATTATTACAAACAAGGGAACAAAGAAAGTATTCTATACCTTGCCAATGGATTTTCCAGGTTGGATTTTGCTGTCTCTCTCTCTCTTTCTGGCTCTCACTGGTTCTTTCTCCCATGGTGCCCCTGTTAACGCTGTAACGACGCAGTCAAGCTCTTTTAGCGTTAAGTGAATAGCGCATGGAAAAAACAGCGCTATATCGGGGTTTAGCACTCTGCGAGTACCAGTATGGTAACAGCGCTATAGCGTGTCAGCGCTATGCGGGGTAGCGCTAAATGGGGTATCCCTGTATATATTTTTCATTGGAACCATCTTTTATCCAGTTATATTTGCTACCATTGAGCTTTATAAGTTTGTGCCAAAATCCAAACAGCATGAATACATTAGAATGGTAGCACCCGTTTCCTGGTCCTGGGACATGTAAGCGTACTATATCAAATATATACTCTCTTATGCAAAACTATCTGCATAATTTTCCATTTTTCTATTTTTTTTTTCAACTTTTTATCCTTCTATATGTAATTGAGATTCCATTATGTCAGGCTCCCTCCCTGCGCACCTGCCTCCTTTTCCCGAGTGGCGGCTTCTGCTGGCCGCGCGCTGCTTGCAGCTGTCCCCTGTTCATCTGGCAATGTTTCTGATGCTACACACTCGCATGCAGCTTGCTTAAATAGGCGCCCGAGTCAGTCACATGCGCAGCCATGATGTCACAGGTCAAAGTGGAAGGCCTAAATACCTTCCACGTGTCATAATTAATTCCAATCGAAAGTTAGCCAATCAGAAGCCTCCTAAGCATATTTAAAACTACCTCTTCTGTGACTTGTTGCCCTGTTGTGGTCTTTTGATAGCCCAATAGCGCCTATATGCTGTCCATTTGTCTGATTACCGAATTTTTGGCTTGTCTCACCATTTATCCTGCTTTCTCTGACCCTTGATCTCGGCTTGTCTTATCGATTATTCTGTCTCTCTGGTTCCCTCTGACTTTGGCTTGTATTCTGACTTCTCTCTGTGTGCACAGATTGGCCACTCTAATGACCGGTACTGCACTTCCTGTGTCTGTGTTCTGTCAGTATGTCTAGTTCCGGAGTTCGTGACACAATATCAGTGGAGGACACTGAATAAGAAGACATCCAACTGGCTGATGGGTAACCTATACAATCCATAGACATCTAATTGAGAGTCCAATCCTGTCTCTACCCTTATGAGTGTGCACACTTGATATTTATTGCTTTGTGAATTATATTGTACTATGTTTTATATGTTTGCATTTTTTTTAGATTGCATTATCACATATTTTTTTATGTAGACAATTTCAACATAGCTTGAACCTTTTTTCCCTCGAATTGTAACTATTGTTTTGGTGCTTGTTGTAGAGGGACACTTTTCATTTTTTTTTTTATTGTGTAGTGAATTTGGTTAGTGTTGATTTCACTGTTTAAGTTATTGGATTTTATTCTTTTTGCTTGAATAAGTTTTACATAATGTATTACCACATACTTATCTGGTCCTGGCGCCCATACTGCTCCCTACGTCAGGCGGCCTGAACAGGGAATATTATACTTACCATTTGGCTCGGTGAATAGCTCCCTCTACTGGTTCGTGCGGGCCAAATTCTATTTGATTCTGTTTCTTTTTCTGATTCTTCCCTGTAGAATCGTAGACTCTGCCTGCTTGAATGGCACATCTTTTATGTATTTAAAATATGTGACGTCACAGCCGCCCTCAAAGTGACCACGTCTTCTAGGCTACCACATATTTAATTAGTTTGGAGTAACAGAGATGATGTGGACCAATCAGAAAGGGTGTTAGCCTATATAAAGTTAATTTGCGTCCTTCATTGCCCTATCATGGTTTCTGCCTTGATACACGTTTGTACTTATAGTAAGTCTCTCTTGATATATTTTGATATTGACCTCGACTTGTATTTGACTTTCTGTAATTCTGGTAACCTGACTTGTTCCTGACCTTGAGTATTTCTAGTATCCTGACCCGGTTGGTTAATCTGTTTATCCGTATTTCTATATTCCTGACCTTGGCTATTACTGACTTTGTTTTTATCTTTATTAACGTTAAGCTAGGCCACTCTAAAGCCCGGTAATATGTCTATGCATTACCTTTATTTGTGGGATTTGACATTCCTGTAAGTTGTGGTACAACGCCGTGACATGCATGTGATCTGCTTGCTTCACATTTTTTTTATTTAAAAAAATGCTCTTATATAAGCACTATGAAGGGTACAAACACAAATAATAGGTAAGGACCACAGGGGGGGAGGGGAGGAGGGGAATAGGTAAGGACCACAGGGGGAGGGAGGGGGGATAGTAAGGACCACGGGGAGGGGAGGGTGGGAATAGGTATGACCACAGGAGGGGAGGGAGGGTGGAACAGGTAAGGACCACAGAGGGAGGAGGGAGGGGGAATAGGTAAGGACCACAGGGGAGGGTGGGAATAGGTAAGGACCACAGGGAGGGAAATAGGTGAGGACCACAGGGAGGGAGGGTGGGAATAGGTGGGACCACAGGGGAGGGAGGGTGGGAATAGGGTGAACAGGACCCACAGGGGAGGGGAGGGGGGGAAACAGGTAAGGACACAAGGGAGGGTGGTGGAATAGGTAAGGACCACCGGGGAGGAAGGAGGGGGAATAGGTAAGGACAAGGGGAGGGGAGGGGAGGGGGGGGTAAGGACCACAGGGGGACAAGGACCACAGGGGAGGCAAGGACCACAGGGTGAGGGCAGGCAAGGACCACCACAGAAGGGGGGTATGGACCACGAGGGGAGGGGGGGAGGTAAGGGCCAGAAGGGGAGGGGGGAGGTAAGGACCACCAGGGAAGGGGGGTATGGACCACAAGGGGAGGAGGGGTAGGTATGACCACGGGGTGGGGAAGGTAAGGACCACCTGGGAGGGGGGAGGGGAGGTAAGAACCACCAGGAGGGGGTAAAGACAGGAAGGATCACTGGGGGAGGAGGGGGAGTAAGGACCACTGGGGAGGAGGGGGGGTAAGGACCACTGGGGAGGAGGGGGGAGTAAGGACCACTGGGGGAGGAAGGGGGGAGTAAGGACCACTGAGGGAGGGGAGGTAAGGACCACTGAGGGAGGGGGGGGAGGTCCACTAAGGGGTTTGGGAGAGGGAGGACCACTAAGGAGGGAAAGGACCACCAAAGGGGGGTAAGTAGGGAGGACCACTAAGGAGAGGGGAGGAGGGTAAGGACCACTAAGGGGGTGGGGGGAGTAGGGGAATGTCTACTAAGGGGTTTGGGAGAGGGAGGTCCACTAAGGGGAGGGATGGAGGACCACTAAGGGGGCCAAGGGAGAGCACTAAGGGACAGGAGGGAAGGGGAAATCAATAATTGACAGGAGGGTGAGCACTATGCAAAAAATTTAAAAAATAAAGAGCTGCTCCCCTCTCAGTCCCTATCCTACCCCACAAACCCTCTCTTTTACATTACACACATACACACATACACAATGCATCCCCCCCACAAACACACACACAGAAACATACAATGCATTCCTACTCACACACAGACACACCCGAAACACACAATGCATCCCTTACGTTCACACAAACTCATTCTCTTACACACAGAAACAAAATGCATCTCTTACACAATCAATGCACCCCTTACAGACACACACTGCATTCAATTAAATACACAGAAACACACCTTGCACCCCTTACACACACACACACTCCCCTATAAACACACTACATCCCTTACAGAAATTGGTATCCCTATACACTACATTCTATACTACATTCTATAAGAACACACACACATTGCATCCTCTACAATAACACATAAAACATCCCCTACAC